AGAGAGAGAGAGAGAGAGAGAGAGAGAGAGAGAGAGAGAGAGAGAGATTGTTTAATGGCCTGCTTATATTTAGGTTGGGGCTTCTGAGTATATCTTAACAATACCTGTGCTATCTATACAGAAATATTTACTGTTTACAGCCATTGCATTGATGAGAGGCTATCACTACTGCCCAGTGATTGCTTATTAATGCTGTGGTTTGGAGTTATCATTCTTTGTGCACACTTGGAAGGAATAAGATTTGTCTTGAGTACTACTGGCATCTTCCCACTCTGGCTCATCCTCTCAGCAGATGAGGTAAACATCCAGGAATAAGGACTTCAAAGGCACAGGGAACATGTCTCTTAGATACATCTTTTGAGGAGCCAACTGATGGCTGAGCTCGCTTGCTTATTTTTTACAGAGTGTGGGCTGCACTTTATATACTCATGCCTCTATATAAAGAATCCTTTAGAAACTTCTGACTTTCCAGCTTCATGTGAGTCATCAGGTTCCTGTTTTAGAGTGTTCATGTGTTTGTGTATGTGTGTGGTAGAACAACTCCATATAAAGCCTGTATATGTTCATAAAAATAAAAATGTGTTTAGAATGCATGTCAGATTTTTTTTAAATGCCAGAAGAGTATGTATGGACAGAGTATATGATATGAGAGAGAGGGAGGGAAGGAGGGAAGGAGAGAGGGAAGGAGAGAGAAAGAGAGAGAGAGAGAGAGAGAGAGAGAGAGAGAGAGAGAGAGAGAGGTGTGTAGTGTAGGTAGCAGTGCAGCTACATGAGAGACTGCCCTCTTAGCAACCCAGACAGTAGTATAAGATAGAGCGTTAATGGGGGTGATTGTTTTCCTTGCAGACCAGCACACACGCCTTTGAGGAGCCCTTGACTTTCTCCTTCTTCCGTGTCTTGTTATAAAGGGATTAAAGTCCAATTAAGCCATTTAATCCCAAGGTAGAAATTCATGTTTAAAAACAAGATTTACAGCTTCTTCAAAAGAAAGAAAGGCACCAGCACAAGTTGAAGTTTGTCCTTTCAAGTTGCCACCTGTATGGTTCCAAAGAGTGTTTTTAGCTGAGCACCCAACACGGCCATTCTCCTTAATTACCTTGCCTCATACATCTCCTCCTTTATCTTTTAAAGTGCCCTTCAGCCTAAATAGCCACATGCTGTCAGAAATACTTCAGCTTCTGGATTGCTACACCTCACCTTGGCTTATCTCTTCTCAGCATCTCGGTGAGCAGGGCCAATAATAAACCATAGTACGGAGAGCCAGTGCTGACCGGGAGCTTAACATGTGAAGATATTCTTGCAGCAAGTGCTTTATGCCCATTACCTCATTAGGTGCCCACTGTGAAAGCATCCAGGCTGGCTCCATGGGTGTGTGGCTTGTGTAGTGATGCAGGGACATCACCTGATTTAATACACTGTTGTTCCTTCTTGAAATTTTTAATCAATTTTTTTGAGTAAGGGATATGTATTAAATAAAATGGCAAATGAGACTTAGCTATTGTACTATGTCAGAGAGAGAGAGAGAGAGAGAGAGAGAGAGAGAGAGAGAGAGAGAGA